TACAATATTAAAAATATTTTCATATACTAGCATCTACTCGACAGTCACAGACTTGGCCAAGTTTCTAGGGCAATCGACATCCAAGCCCTTGTGCACGGCAATGTGGTAAGACATCAACTGCAAGGGGATCACAGTCAAGATACTCTGCAAGCAATCCACAATGGATGGGATGCAGATGGTCTTGTATGCAAACTCCTTCACCCCAGCCTCAGTCTCGGGTGTACAGATAACAATGGGACGGCCGCCACGCGCATGCACCTGCTGAAGCGCATTGTGCGACTTATCCAGAGTGGAGTCGTTCATGACGATCATCACCACAGGCATGTCCTCGTCAATCAGAGCCAGAGGACCGTGCTTAAGTTCACCGCTGAGGATACCCTCCGAGTGGATGTAGGTCAACTCCTTAATCTTCAGAGCTCCCTCTAGGCACGTGGCATACTGGTAACCGCGGCCCATGACCAGCAGGGATCGCTCGGTCGCAAACTGCTTAGAAAGCTCCTCGATCTGGGTGTCCAGCTTGAGCACTTCCTCAATCAACTGCGGCATCTCCTTCATTGCCTTGATAACCTTCTCACGACGACCCGTCTTGGCAACGCTATCGGAGGCCATGCTAATGGACATCATGGTCAATGCGATGATCTGCGACGTGTACGCCTTGGTAGACGCTACACCGATCTCGGGTCCAGCGTTCAGATGGATACCACAGTCAGACTCGCGCGAGATGGTAGAGCCAACCGTGTTGGTAATACCCACAATAAGGGCTCCACGGGTCTTACAGTAGCGCAGAGTGTTGAGGGTATCCGCAGTCTCTCCGGATTGGGATAAGAACACACAGACATCGTCACGGAAGATGGGTGTTTGTCGATCCATAAAGTCAGAGGCCAGCTCGATGGACACGGGGATCTCAGTCATTTCTTCCAAGAAAGCACGCACTGTGAGTGAGATAGAGATAGGTTTTAGTCAGTTTCAGTAAAGCACGACTTCGCAATATCAAAATGAATATGCGCAATATAGTGAACTAATATGAGGGTACCAGAGAATTATCAAGTCAGTGATGTGATAGGGGGTTTTGCAAAATGTGCGTGTTTGTGGTCTGTACTTTACATGAAAAAATATATATTTTACGTTTGATACATATTACAGATTGCCTTTCAAATATACTATTCACACTTAATACATACCATATATTCTCTTTCAAAGAAGTTGAACTGTATAAAACCACACTTACCAGCAAGAGCAGAGTGGTAAGAGGTACCACATGCGATGAATATAAGTCGGCGGCAGCGTCTGATGGTGGTCATGTCACGCACAAGACCTCCCAGGTGTACGGAGTGGTCTTCGTAATTGACACGTCCACGCATGGTGTTGACCACAGACTCGGGCTGCTCGTAGATCTCTTTCTGCATGAAAGACTGTTTGTAGAGAAAGATATATGCATAGAGAAGGTGAGTTACACATTTGTTTTAAGAAAGAGCGCAAGCCAGGGAGATATAACGTGATTTAAACATAGGAAGAGCTTGGATATGTGAAACCATAGTCTGAAGTGCATCCGCAATAAAAAAAGTCTCGCAAAAAAGTCAATAAGTGAAAACAATCCGACACTTACTGTGAAGTTGCCGCGCATGATCTGGGCCATTTCAATCTCCAAGGTCTTAATAGGACGGCTAGAGCTCAAGTCGGCATCAGGCTTGACACGGTGGATGGTGATCTCACCCATAACGAAGTGAGCTACATCATTGTCCTCCAAGTAGATCACCTGCTTGGTGTGCTCGATGATGGCACTGGCATCAGACGAGAGGAAGAACTCGATGGAGGTGGTATCTCCGTCAGCAAGCTGCAAGTTAGACATGGAACTCATACGTCCAGAGCTGGACAGCATGCGAGGCAAGTTATTTGAGGACACACCGATCAAATCAATGTTTGCGGGATTGACCTGCTCGTCACCTACAATAACATTGATGGTGTCAGCACGTAGAGGCTGACTGGAGCGTACACCAACCAGTAGAGGTGAACCACGACGTGAAGCTACAGCTTCATTGGGGAAGTGAGACGACTTGAACACCAGCGCAAATGCTCCCTCAAGCTCGTGCACAGTCTGCTCTACTAAGTGGCGGAAGGACAATTGCTTGGTCTCGTCCTGGTCGTAGAAGTACTGGATTAGCTTGGCAATGACCTCAGTGTCGGTTTCCGACAAAAATTTGTAGCCGTTGGTCTGCAGGAACTTCTTGAGCTCTCTGTAGTTAGTAATGATACCGTTGTGTACTACACTAAACTGGCAGTCGAGTGACGAGGGGTGGGGGTGAGAGTTAACGTCCGAGGGCTCTCCGTGAGTGGCCCAACGAGTGTGTGCAATACCTGCATGGCACTGAAACTCCTCCTCGAGGTCAAGCTCAGTCTCCTCTAGAGCACGGTTAAGTGTGTTTACAACTTTACCTTTGGCCTTGATAAGCTTTGTAGCAATCTCACCACTCTCGTTAAAGTCGCCATCGATGGCGATACCCGCAGAGTCGTATCCTCTGTATTCGAGACGGGCTAGACCGTTTGTAAGAGTTCTAATGATTTCCTCACGGGTCTTTGGTGTAAGATGGTTGATATAAGCAAAGATTCCACACATGATCACGATATATGAGGTGGCTAGTGTGGGTGATTGAGGTGAATGCGACGTACAAATAAATCGTCTATACAATTCGTGCACTCTTATATAATAATTCATACAATTTGTATATCACTATCGTATATTGGCAGTGACAAGTGTACGATCTGCTTTCAGTGCATTGTTTTGAACCAATACCGCTGTTCTCCCTCGAGTCCGCGGTCCTCTGTTGTTGTCTCTTGGTCTGAGCCAATAAGGAACGGGAAAATAACAGCTTATCTCGGAGCTCCCAAACTGTCAAACTTCGGGACCATAATTAATTATTTTTTTTAAACGTACTACTCAAAGTGCCACAGGTATTGTCGTTTTCTAAAAATACTCAAAAGTCTTTCTCAAATCAGGAACAAATCTCTTCTCCGAAAGTGTGCCAGCATCATGCTGAGTCATAAATATAATATACTGCGAACTTTTGTTTAAAATTTCAGCAGTATGAAGTATATACTATATTGTATTTAATTTTGAACACTCTACATTAGTATTTTTTTAGTAGTCGAGACTCGAGAGATGTCTACTAGTTAGTACATATTAACGTTATCACGTACCATACTAGTAGTGACTTGTGACGTGTGTATTTTCTCCGGCAGCCAGTAAGCACCCACTGACGTTATATATTTATCTCGGACGAAAAGGATACAGTATGTTGCGGACAACGGGGATTCGGGAGTGAGATGTAGCCTTTTTTTTAAAGGTTTTTTGCGACCTCACTCACGGGCTCACCTTACACCTACTACTCTCTAGTAGTTCTTTGCACTGGTTGTTGGGGCTTGCAATGCTCAATGCTCATACTCCAGTCACGAGTCAAGCACGAGAGGTGTGATCGTTCGTAATATTTACTCCCATTTTATATTTCTTTAAAAACAAATATGAAGTCTTTCTTTTGTTTCAAAATAAATATAGTATATGTACTGTCTGTACTACATTTATGTAGACTAAAAACTAAAAAGGTTTACATTTGACTGTACTGCTTGGCCATAGAGTGTACAACTGTACACTTACAAATTTCATATATTATAAATATGTAAATATATGTATTTTTGACAGCGACAGTAAATTGTTTTTCTCTGTTTTTTTATATTATTTATTTACCTATTATGAGCAATAAAAGTAAACATTTACTTGAAATTTTTTTTCAGATTCTTGCCAAAGCCCTTCGCCGGGGACCGGCCACCCAGCCACCCCGTCTGGCGAGAATGGCACTGACGAGAGTGGCACTGGCGACTGGCGACTGGCGCCTTCCCGCCTCTTCAAAATATTCTAAAGTAAATATAAATGAAGAGTTGAAAACTTGAAACATCATTTGGATGATGTGGGTAAAACCGGTACATATGTACCTTATTTAAAAAAACTAAATCAAAAGGCCCAAAAAAACATTTTTCTTGTTGTTTTTAAAAACAACAAAGTAAGTATATAAAAGATAAAAATTGGCCGCGAATGCCGTAGGCGTACACCGATATTTAATATTATTTAGATATTCATGCGTATTTACGCCGTATTAAATTACAAGCCGTACACCGTGCGCTAATAAAAATCATTGGAAATTGCACTCAGTTTAACTACCAGAGAAATCCAGCATTGGTGGTCCCGGCCCCCAAATGTGGTCAAGAAGAGAAGAGTGAAGAGACACTGTCCTAGACTCCAGTCACAGACTCACAATTTCCACCTGTGACCTGAGGGCTGAGGGTTTTAGGGTTTTAGGGTTTTTGCCCCTGCCAAATGTCAAGATTCCCAAAGAGAGGCCAAGACTCCAAGAGTCCAAAACCCCTCAGCCTTAAGGCCTGACCTGAGGGAGCCTGAAGTCTGAGACTATGACAAATATTGACAACTGACAACTAAAGCCTTTTCTTTTCCTTTTTTTCACAAAATCAAAAACAAATAAAAGACGACATTTGAGAAAGCTCGACATTGTCGCCGAGAAAACCGTTGAGAGTCTCTGGTATTGAGCTTCACTCATCAGGTTTACATGACAAACTGAGTTTTACCATAATAACTTGCTTTTACACTTTCATGACAACTAGTTCTCTTGCACTTCTCTTGCATACGAACTCGCACTATTTTCTCCTCTACGACCATAAACATCTAATAAAGATCAGTTCTTCTAGTTCAATAAGTTCTGTGACCATTTGGTTATGGGCCATTGATTCCATTCTACTATCACAATGTCAGCCTCCGACACTGATGACAGTGAGAGCCTTTCTTCACAAAATGAAGATCTTACCCTAGATTAGGTTCTACTCCGTTACAGCGGATCCAAAGATGATTCATAGGGATAATATTATCTATTTCAAAAATGGCAAGTATGTTTTAGCTTAAGAGTACGTTTATAACATAGAGTCTAATGTGGAGGCCCGGCTATTACACAGCCCCTACCCAGCTTTGAGACCCATGAGAAGCAACTTGCTCACTCAAGCTGATTATGGGTCAAAAAGCGAGAAAGTAGCATAACATATAGTTA